TCAAGCTGGGACAGTACGAGAGCAGAGTGAGTATGGCAAAGATGACTCGTCCAGCAAACAAGCCTACATCTCGCTCACAATCAGCCCGCATACACGCCCGTCCGCAGCGCTTATACCTGCGCATTGGTGCAGCGCCTTTGATGGAGTGTAAATACTGCACGTCAGCAAAAGAGTACACCGGATACGCCATGATCCAGACTCTGTTCTTCCACATCTCAAGGCTGCTCGTCTTGGGTCTCGTTACCTGCTCCAGCACCACGCTTCAATCCCTTGACGCTGTGCTGCTGCGTCTGGCGGGCAGTGAGGTGGTGCTGAAGGAAGTGGGCAAGGATAGGAGCATGTGGCGGAAGATCGGCATTTGGACCATTGCTGCTGCGGTTGCTTTCGAAAGCGCCGTAATGAATGACTACGTCGGAGAAATCCAAAAAAATCAGGGTTGGCTCAATCACGTGGGTACTTTTTTTCTTTCGCCACGGACTTCTTCACAGCTTGCTCGAGGCTATCGCTGACAGCCAAAATGATGTGCTTTCTTGTACAGATCCATACCAATCTCTTCATCGCACGCAATCTCCTCGTCATTGCGCTTTTCGGTCTGATCTTTTTGCAGCCTTCGGCGCTACATCCTGCACCTATCACTAAAGTGCAGCTCTCGATGCGCTCCATAGCCACCTCTCTAGAGAGCACGCTTCTCTTCACGCAAGCTCAACACATTGGCAGCGACGTGTTATGGAGAGATCCAGGGCTGAGGGAGATCGTGGGAGGGAGAGCTGCACAGAATCCATTGAGGAGAGATGAGGAGGATATCAGAGAGGCAAAAGCGAGCGAGGCGCTGCCCAGCGCTTTAGTCGAAGGTCACTGGAACACTGCAAAGACTGCTGCACAACGAGCTTGGGCAGAGTCAGAAGTGGCGAATGCGAAAGCTGAGGCGGGGCAGAACTGAGAGCAGAGGCGGTGCAAGCCTTACTTCCTCCCCTTCTTGGCAATAGACATACATCAGCCGTGTGCCAGGTGGAGTGAAAGCGCAGATGGCAGCTTGGCGGAGTGAGCTCGCCCAGCCGACGAATGATGCTCCAAAGCACTGCTTGTAGGTTGACCCTGCAAGGTGATCTGGGCCCGAATCAGATCAGCAGATCAGCAGCTTATCGGCTGCGGAAGCAAGCGCTGTGCCGTCATCTCAGATATCGCGTCTGCTGCGTGTCGTGATGCTGACACTCACAAGTTTGACAGCGACTGCGA